TTTTAAAATATTTTTGATTGAATTAAATACTTTTTTTAGAAAGGCCATTCTGTTTTCATTTGTAAAGGCATTTCATCTTTAACCCGATTTTAAGGATGCCATGGGATGAGACAGGCACAAGGAAATCTGAGCCTCAATACCATGTTTCCTCAATTCGGAGACACACATTTTTCAGATTTACGTGTCTTTGAAACTGGGATGGGTAGCAGACCCGGTCAGTGCTCTCCGATCCCTCTGCCTCACTCTCATGAGCCCTGGCTCTGTGCGCTCTCACTCTGGACAGCCAGCACCTGCTTCTCATTGCTGTACGGCTGCAGGTACCCGCTTTGCCAGCACAGAGCCAGAAGGACCTAGAAGGTTACATCTCCCTCGCAGGCCTCCCACCCTTAACCAATGACTGATGGGTGCAGGGCTATAAATACTCCCGGCTCCCTGGCCTCTGACGTGAACAGCTGAGGCAGGACTTAACACTGTCTGCATAGCTCCCTTGTGGGGCTCAGTCAAAGTGCTTCCCCTCTCCCCACCCACCCCTGGGTGGGCTTTACTTGACATCACTCCCTGGTGCAGGGTTTTCCCCTTCCCTTCGTGTTGGTCCTATTTCTCTATTTCCCTACTGTTTTTCCCCTAATCCACACAAATTCTAACCTCAGGGGAATGGAACATAAGATGTGTCTTACAGTCCATGATGTCTTGCAGTTGCTGTTGGCCAGGCAACTACAGTGGAAAGCAGCTCTGCTCACCACACCACCAACACTGCAAAAGGCAGCCATAATGGTACCACTGTGTTCGCCTGTGCGTGCGCTAACTTGGTGGTTTTTCTTGTGGCGTGAATGGACTGTTACTCTACTTTTTGGTGAATAAAGCACCTAAGGACTATTTGAGGAAAGAATATGAATCCTGATTGTTGTCTAAAAACTTCTATAAAATCCTTTTGAAAAGATCAAAAAGGAAGCAATATCAAAACTCCAAAGTAGATGTCAAAGATCTGGGGAGAAACTCCTCAGGACGGTAGTGAAACATTCCTTTAAGAAATGCCTTGCTTTGATGGCAGAGAGGATGTTACTGTGAAAAATGCAGATGACAGCTCTGATTTAAAAGAGAGATTCAGAAGAGTTCCATTCTGAATAGATAGAAGTTTTAGGAATATTGCGATTTATTTGTGTTTCATTTTCCTTTACATATACCCATTATAAAAATCTTTGTTCAAACAGCTCTTAGATTTACTTAAAAGGCCATAAGACAGAAATTCAAAGTACTGTGTCATATTTCAGATGCTTTTTTTTTTCATTTTTAGTGATACATAAGATAATGGTAAGTCTTACAACTTACAGTCTTAAATTTGGTGAAATACTAATCAGGAATATGGAACTCAAAGAGACAGAAGGAATGAAATCAATGAACAATCTTAGCAACACTGGGAAAACTGAGGCAACCTCGCAGACTTTTCACCTTGTATGATTCATAGTAGGGGCTCCATTTGTGAGTGAGGAACCACCATTTTGTCACATTCTTGAAATTTTGTAGACTTCAGTCTATTAAATACTTCTTATTCCTCCAAAGTGTGTCTATGTGTGCACACAGAAATGTATGTGTGTGTGCACACATATACCCTATTTCTTTCAGATTTTCCTTATTTTGAGCCCTTGAACCACTCAGAGAAGTAATCCATGCATTTAATTTGGTGCCAGCTTTTTATTTTTGCGTGGCGATCATGGAGCTATGTATAACCCATGTGATCACCATACAAAAATAAAAAACTGGCATTAGATTAAATGCATGGGTTACCTCCCTGAAACTACTCAGTAGATAGAAATAGGAACTATCCACAAACATCTTTTTGTATTTCATTTCAGAGAAATATCTGACCTGAACTGTCTATGGGCCAAGATAACTTTATTATCCACCCAATTTTGTTCTGTCTTCCTGTTTTCTCTGCTTGTATTTTGCTGATGAAAGATGAATTTCTCCATTGTGAAACAGCACAGTTAAGCAATTTCGGTGGGCTTAGTTATGGATGGGACAGTTTCTACACTTTCAGAGTCCCGTGGCAATCCATAGCTCCCTCGTGTCAAATCAAGTCTTCAGCAACATGATTAATTAACCTAAAAGAATAGAAGCTGAACACTGTTGCCTTGAAATGCACATGCATTTTTCTTTTAGGTTTTATCTACCCTTCCACACCAAAAAGCATTCTGTTGTATTTTTTTCAAAACCTTGGGCAAACCAGCGTTTATGTATGTGCTTTATAATCCTTCCACCACAATCACACTGTGAGTTTTATGGTCAAACTTACGCAGCATGCATTTCCTTCTTCAGAAAAACCCATTATATTGTTCCAACTTTAATAGAACTAGTGAGTGTGGATGTGCTTAGTTAAACTCCTATCTCATTTAAAAAAAATTTCACTTTGTTTTTTTCTTCCAGAAGCAGGAAAGAGCTAAAAGTTTTTGAAAGCAAGAAACTTTCAAAATTTATTCTGTAAGCATGTATTGAACGTTACCATACCACGTCCTATGGGAGGGATAAAACATAGTGTATAAACTCTGACTTAAAGGACTCAAATCTACTAGGAGAGACATAAGCCTCCTTTTCCCACACAAATAATTGCAAAGATAGTGTGTTAGAGGCTTTATTAAAAGGTTTAAGGTCATAGGGGGATGGGGTAGTGTTTTAGAGCATAACTCCTCCCAGTTAAACTTCTCACCCTCCAGGGTTTAGATTAAAAACACCCCAATGCAGCAACAGACAGCTAAAAAACAACAGACTACCTGGGCCAATTTTCTCTCTTCCCATTTCCCTCCCAGCGCCACCTGGTTTACTCATCTAGCTGCTGACGCTGGGTGGGACAGCCGCAGTGAGAGAGACCAGTTGGCTTTAACCAGAGTTCTGATTCTTGTTGCCATGCAGAGAGGAAGCACAAAAAGAGAGGGTAGGACCAGATTTCAAGCCTTTAAGACTCAGTGACCCAGTGCACTTACTAACTTACTAACAAGTAAGTTAGTAGATAAATGTAGTCCCCCAGTGCATGTCTGGACAAACAGGCTTGCGACTCCTCTTGGGGTCTTGGGGTAGAAGTTCTTTCGCCACCACCCCAAGGGGGGAAGAGGGACTGGACACGAATGAAAAAGATACAGAGGTGGCCTCTGGAGAGGGCCAGTGCCGGGTGTGGGGAAGGCGGCAGGGCCAGGATCTCCACAGGAGAGGTGAGCTGAGACTGGTATCTTGAAGGATGAGAAGGAATCTGATGAGGGAATGAGGCAGGAGAAGGTCCCTAGGCAGACGGAACCATCTAGTTGAGTGTTGTTGGGGTTTGATAAATGAGGCTGGAGGGAAAGTGGAAGGGGTCTGACAATGGCAGGGGCTGGATACTGAAGAGCAGCAAGGGGGGCAACAGAATCAAGTTTGTGTTTCAGAAAGATAATTCTGAGGTGCGGTGGGGACATTGACGGGTACAGGTGTGGGAGGCAGGGAGAAAGGTGTATATTTACTCATTGCCATTATCCTGGTAATAAATGAGAAAGACCTAAAAAACAAATAGGCAGCGTTTGCATGGATCTGATAAAGGGGACTATATTTTTAAACGTTCTAGAAACTTCTAGAAAAATGCCTTGTTCTTTATTCCACACCCACCAAGCATGTAAGTCATTACCTAAGGGTGCAGAGGCAGAGACGGGCCAGAACTGTGAGTCGGAAGGAGCTCCCTCTGCGAGGAAGGAAACATCAGGGGTAGGGAATAAATGATCTCGACCAACACTAATCTCAGTACCCTGGGGTTCCCTCCATTCTTTGGAGTCATTGGTAAACCCTGGGAGGCTTGCCAGGGCACTCTGGGCTTGGATGGTCTGATGTCATTGTCCCAAACTGGGTCTCATGGAGAGGCCATGTGGATTGAGTGGAAAAAAATCCCCCCTTAGGTCCAGTGGGTCTTCCTGTTACTCCTGTGATCCTTTTGGGTCCATGGAACTCAATCTGATTTTCCAGTCTGGACCACAGTGGGCCAGAGGACGCTCACTGACATTGTCTAAGGCCCCATCTGCCTATACATACCGTGCAATCATTTCAATCCTAGGGTACACAGAGGCATGGGTCTCTGCTCTCAAAACTAATACATAAAATTGGGGTTTTGCTGCTCCCAGGAAGCTAGCCCAGGAGGTGGGGTCTGGCCCCTTTCTCTGAGCTGCACCAATGTTTTCGCTTGTCCTCCCCTCCCACAGCCAGGGGAATGATTTCCTCACAGGGAGGAGGGAAGCCCTGCTCTTCATCATCTGTGCTCTCAAATCTCTCATCTAAATCATGAATCCTTTTCTAGTTCCCTAAGGAGCCAGACTTTTGGAACTCAAAAGAGCATGCGTTCCTCTGCTTTCTGATGTCACACACCTCTCTTAAGGTAATGAACATGAAATGGTCTAGAAGTTCAGATACAGGATCGAGGAGGCGGAGGAAGAATATAAACAGAAAAAAGCTTTGTTAATTTCAGCTGAATGTCCTTTGCATGAGACACAAATCACACAGGACCACAGCTGCTCTGCATTGTATCCCTAGGACTTTGTGAAGTGTCTGCCATCTGGTAGCACTCAGTATGTCTTTAAGGGAATAGAAGGGCATGAGAGTTAAACTGGGACCTAAGTCAGGGACAGCGTATTACACATTCAATTTGGCAAGGATATACTGAACACCTACTAGGTGACAGGCACTGGGTTAGACCTTCCTCCATGGTGCTAGGTCCTTCCTAGGGGGGTGAACAAGACAGACAAATTCCCACCATCATGGAGCTGACTCCCTTTCTTAAGACAATAAACAAACAGATCGTTACAAGCTGATAGACAATATAAAAGAAATAAACACAGCAATAAGTTGGTGATGGGGGAACAGGAATGGGCAGGGGTCAGAGCTATTCATCTGCTGCCTTTTCCTTCCAACCACCCCTTGTACCCTGAGAATGAAATTCACACTTAAAAACAGTATTAGTTAGATGTAAAAAAAAATTCATATGAAGAAAATACGTACAAAATTGCATTTAATGTTTACATAATCGTCACGCAGGCACAATGATATTTCATGTGAGCTTTGGTTAAAACATCTTGGGTTTTTTATTTCCAAAGTGAAGTTCCACAGGCGTATTCTATTTCAAGTTCTTCTCATCCTCTCAAAATTTCTATGCGACAGAGTATGCAAGTGGTTTTAATGTTAGCTTAGTTCTTTTTGTTCGGTATATTGCAAAATTCAAGTTTGTTGACCTTTGAAATAGCTGCGTTTTACTTAACAGAGAAAATAAAAATGTCCATTTCCCCCTCGAAAAAGGACAATATTTTCTAATTTTGCAAACGCTTTGTGAAAGTATCACTTGACTCTGTATTTTTCCAGCTGCTTAGCATTTATTATTGGAGAGGCCCTTCACACAGTATGTGCCTCTCCTTTCATTTCTAGTCAAGGGGTGCTATTATTATTTTGGAATTATTCAAATTTAAGAGAGTGAGAAAGGGCTTCTCTTTAGGGTTTTTTTTTTATTCAACAAACTCCTTGCTTCTTACTCCTTTAAGGAAAAAATAAAAGGTTTTTGAGAAAAAAGAAAAGACAGGAAAAAAGCTTTTAGATTGAGAGCTTCCTATTTGGGACTCAGAGCTATTCGGAGGGGTGTCTTCCAGACCCTGCGTGTTGTCTGGCATTGGGCAGGTGCTCCGGCATGGCTGCTGAGCTGAACTGATCTGGGAAGAGTCAGGGGGTTACTATCCTCCCCGTTCAGATGGGAAAGCCAAGGCTCAGAGTGCTTTGGTATTGTGCTTTGCACTTCACCAAGGCCTCTCACCCAAGGGAGCTCATTTAAGTCAGTCCTCACCACCATTATATACAGAGTAGGAAAGGCCAATACTTTCAAATAAAAAGATGATGGTCCTGATGTGTTTGACATACCGTGAACTAGTGCCTGCTAAGGACAACTAATAACTAATGATGAACGGATACAGGGTTGGAAAGAATTATTCTTCTAAGGACAAAAAAAATCAGAAAAGTTATTGGAAATCTTTGGACTAAAACAAGTCCTATAATACATAGGGGAAAAAAGCTCTCTTACACTACTGGTGGTAGTGTAAATCAGTCCTGTTTTTATGGAGGAGGATTTATGAACATCTACCAAAATTAAAAAGAACGTACCTTTGATGTCATGATTTACTTTTAGGACTAGATTTCCATTACAGACCTACTGACACAAGAGTGCATTGATATATGAGGAGAAGCATTGAATGACTATGAGAATGTTCACTGTGGCATTGTTAGTAACAGAAGATAACTTAAAAACAGCCTCTTCATTGATAGCTTGCTGGCTACAGGAATTATGAGTTATCTGGAAGGGATATTTTATACTGACATTTGAAATACAATATTATCTATTGCCATGAAAAAAAAAATGACCACAGTAAGTCAAACGAAAGATGATTCACAGTGTGATTTCCTTTGAGTAAAAACACTCATCAAAATATTAGTGATGGCTACCTCTGGAAAGTGAGATGGGCTATGTTTTAGCTTTATGTTCAGTTCTGTACTACTTGTTTTTTTAACGGAAATGGATTATTTCTAAAATTCAAACATTAAAGAGAAGCTATTCAATTCTGGCCGTCTGGGAAGCTTTTAACTTTCTAACCAGCAGTAAGCAGACCCCAGGGAATAGTTAGCTAATGCCCTGCTTCACCACCGGGCCTAGCGCCATGCTTGGCACACAGTTGGTGCCCAGTCAATATTCTGAGAATAAAGAAGTAAGGAAGGCTGCCCCCGGTCACTTTGGTAAAGTGTATCAAGATGGAAGCAAGCACCTAAGAACATTGACAGTTTCTAACTCCAAAATCAGAGTCAGTGGGTCAATGGAGGCGAGTTTACAATGACCACATCAAAGGGCTGACTTCAAGAAAGATAGGCTATCTAAATGCTATCTCACCCCGAAATAATTTGGGGGTTCTACTTGCATTAATAAGGATTCTTAATGAGTTCCCACCATATTTTCTTTGAGTGTCTCTTGGGGCATTTATCTGTTGGTTCAGGGGTCTCGGACGCATAAAGAGGAAGAAATTTCAGACAGTTCTCATATGGTCCAGCCAGTTCAGACCCTGAACCTCCGCAGTGACATTCCTGTCATGAGTTCAGGCTGCCTGAACACTTCCTGCGACAGTGCCTCCCCTGCTTCCTGAGGAATTCTTTCCCGATGTGTTCAGCGACTGGAAGATGCCTTATTGCACTGAGCTGGAATCTGCCTTTTTTGTAAAATTGAGACCCCAGGATCCAGCTCTGCTGCCGGGGTCACACACCTTGGTTCTATGCAGCTCTGCACAACGGTTTCGAAGAAATGGGCTCTGAGACCTGCCTTGAGCCCCAACTTCCACATGTAGGTGCTGTGCGACCCTGAGGCAAAGGCTAGCAACTCTCTCCAATCCTAAACTTCTTTACAAAATGGGGATGATCATAGTTTCTACCTTGTGGGGTTGTTTTTGAGAAGATAATGAGATAATACATGCAAATTGCCCCTCACAATGGATGGCACAAAATGCCCAATAAATATTACCATTACAATTTTTATAGGCCTCTTCCATCGGGAAGCAGGGAGGAAAGGGGCACAAAAGAGCAAAGTTAACACAAGAGGTGTCTGGCCGCGAAGTGCGTCCTGAGGTCCCTGAGGCCAAGTGACTCTAGCATCTCCTGGGCTTTCCTCACTGGAAACAAATCCAAAAACACTCCCAGCGGAGGAGGGGGCATTTCATACCATTGATTTGGCAACAACAAAAAGGTCTGTACTTTCACAATTACAGACACTAACTTGTAAAAGTAACCTCAGGTGTTTGAGAATCTGGCTCACCTCCGGGGGTCACAAGGGAAGAGCTCCCCTAGGGCGTTCTCTCAAAACGTGTCTCCCTCAAGCTTCCTCATATCCAAATAGCTGTCAGGTGAGACACAAGTCTTCTCCAGACAGTCTGAGACTGTTCTCAGGGCTAATGACCTCCTACCAGCCTGGATTTGACTTTATGTTATTATTCAAGACATAAATTACAAATTTTGCATGTATTCAGGAATGTGTGGTACAATGTATACATACACTTACACTATAGACCTATATAATATACCATATGAAATTTAGCAGACTAGGAGACTCAGAATCTGGGTCTAATTTTGACCTGGTCATTAACTCACTATGTGAACTCTTAGGATCTCAGTTTATGCATCTATAAAATGGTTACAACTGACGATTCTGACATTCTGCTCCAAGGAGCCCCAGGTTTGCACAGCAGTGCTGGGGGCTGCTTTAATTAGGCTCCAGGCCTCCATCTTGCTTTAAGCAGAACAGTGATATTAAAAAGAAAGTCGGCTGCATATTTTGAGATTCTGCTCTAAGAATTCATTTGAAAAATGAGTCTTTTTCACCAAAGGATGTTTGAAAATCATGGAATCAGGCAATCCTCAAGGCTTCTGAGTTCCTACCTGTATTTCAGAGATGGGGAGGGAGAGAGCCAGAGAGAAGGAGATGGGGGAAGGGGGAGGAGAGAGGGGAGGGAAAGGGGGAGGAGAGAGGGGAGGGGGAGGAGTGGTGGCTGTGGTGGTGGGGAGAGGGGACAAGAGACTGGAAGAGGCCAGAATGACAGATAGTAGCTTCTCTGTGTTATCAGGCATGGTTTGGCAACAGAGCATTCTGATTTATTAATGATTCTTGCTCACTTTCTTCCTAAGTATATTACCTAACAATATAATATTAGATATAAATAAGTTCCTTTTTATTATTCACTTCTACTTAATGCTCAGGACATTTAAAATGACTTCCTCCCCACTCCACCCCCCTCATTCCCCAGCCCCAGGTTTAAATCATTAAACTGGGAGAATATCTTTAGCACTCCAGGTTAATGGCTCATCCCTTCCAGAAACTGTCCTGTAGCATCCTTGTGATACAATAAAATAAGATCAAAAGCATAATCAGCCTGGAGGGTGACATCAGCAATGAGGAGGTCAGTCCTGAATGCACGGCAGAGGAGTTCAAGGATGTGTCTTTTGATAGCAGAGATGCCCCTCCTCTCCTCTCCTCAAATGCTCCCTCTGGCAAGGACAAATTCCTGATGGGAGGCAGTCCCTTCGCTTTAGAAAAACGTAAGCTGCTGAAAGAAGCCTGTTGAAATGATATCACAAAGCTGTGCCCCTGCTTGGTGAGTGTTTGGGAGTGAAGTAGGGGGAAGGGTTTAGAGGAGAATCGTGGGGTTAGGTGGGGGCCACGTCTGACTGAAGGGGGGGTCCCCTGGGTCTCTGTGGTCCCCTGAGCGCACAGCTGCAGAGCTCAGCTGCATCAACAGAGCCACAGGGCGCTGCGTGTCGGGTGACCTGCCTCTGCAGGGGCAGCAGGGTGCCAGGCAAAGGGAACTGGACCAGGACACGGAATCAGTCGGAAGACGTGGGTGTCAGCTTCAGCTCCGGGATAGGGTGCTTCATTCCTCTGAACCGCTATTTCCCTAACTGGAAAACACCCACTGGCCCTGCCTCACAGGCATGCCATTTGGTTTAAATAAAACAGGGTCTGAAAAGCATTTCGTAAATTAGAAAGCCCCATCGAGACGTAAGCAATGTTCAGTGGCCTGTGAGATAGTTGTCTAAATGTGATCCTTAAGAACCAACCCCCAAAAAGCCTGCATTTATAAATCACTTTCCTAAGATACGCATATAAAAGGTTAGCGAATTATCAAGTAAATGAAATGTTTCACTATGTTCACATAATTTTTCCTTATGTCTCAATGACAAAAACCATCATATCTGATATTCCACACAGAATTATATATAAAATTACAAAGATCTAATTACACATGAAAAAATTATACATATTATAAAATCTACATATGATTTCAAAAAACATGATGAGATTATTCTTAAAGAACTTCTATACTAGTAGGAAGTCAGTTTTGTAAATGCATAGTTATATCAACACGTTTTACAAAAACAGCCTAAGTCCAGAGTTTCCATTTTGCAACTTCGTTTGGTTGTGTGTGTTTTATTCCTACTTAGATGCTGCGTCCCAGGGTCATCCACGCAGACGGGGACACCAGGGGACCACGGAGCCCCTGCTCCCCACGGAAAACCATCAGCTCTTCTGGTCGGGAAGCTCTCCGGAGCAGTCCTCCTCGTGCTCCTCCGAGCAGGACAGGTTCAGCGTGCTCATCACGGGATGCATCCAGGAAGTGGTCTGTGTGACGTGACTTGAGAAGAAGAAGGAAGGAAGTTACGATCTGGAAGACTGTCCTACCCACCGTGCGAGTCGTGATCCCAGCGACACTGCTGCCACCCTACTGCCGTCCCTTGAAGTAGGAAGCAGTTGGAACTGGGTCCGATACTTTTTCAAACTCTTACGTGTGTTTTAAGGTTCAGGAAAACCCGTTTCTTTCTTTCTTCTTCAGTGAAAAAGAATGTAGGAGGATGCGTCACCTTGGACCCCTTGCTCTTCCTGACCTGTCGGCAAGTCCTGTGGCTGCCCCACTGCATCAGCTCTGGGATCCTTTCCTCCCTCTCCCTTCCCAATGCCTGGGCCACTGAAACTGCTTGTCTCTCTGCCTCTGTTCTAGTTTTCTAGTGCATTCTCCACTCCAGCTGAGAGATCCTTCCAAATGACAAATCGTATACTGCTGCTCACCTGCTAAAAATTCAGTGCCAGCCAATGCCTTCTGGATCAAATACATACTCCATAGTGTGAAATACTGTTTTTTCCCCCCGCCTCAACAGTACTTTCTTTTCTGCTACAGTCTTCCTCCTTCCCATCTTGTTTATCCAGCTAACTCATACTAATTCTAAAGAACCAAATCTCCTTTAAGATTCCTCCACCCTGTGCGCATCACCAGACTGTATTGTAAATGCCTGCTTAGTTTTTAGGCCTTCTTACTGCATATGAAGCTCCTTAAGGACAGGAACTATGTTCTTATGTCTGAATTTACGGTGCCTAACATGTACTCAGAACAAATGACGAGGCATCTCAGGGAAAAGCAGATGCACCCAAGCAGCGGTAAGGACGGATGTACAAAGATACAGGGCAAGTCAGGGCGTGGTGAAATGTCACAAAATGTGCCCCTACCTGGTGGATGGGAGGCTGGTTCTTAGACCTAGTATCCAACTGCCAGCCTTCAGCTGGATGAACCTCGTAAACCCACTACCACTTGCCCAGGTCCTGAGTGTTGGACAGACAGCTTCTGGAATAAAATGATTTGTTTCTTCTTCTTGCATCCTCTTTCTAGCCCTGGTCCAACCCACAGCCCTATCCATCCTAGATCAGTTTCCCTTGCCCCCATAGTACCCAAACTCAACCTCATAGCAGCATGGTGTCTTAGATCAAGTCTATCTGAGGGCTGGACTTACGAGGCTCAAATAAGATTGTGGATCTGAAAGCATCTCCCACCTTACGGGATAACATTTCCAAAGTGTGTTACAAGGGTTATTAATACATATTATGTAACGAAGAGAATTCTATGGTCAAATAGATTTGAGATGCACTAGTTTAAACAGAGTTAAGTAGGTTCCTTTATTGTAGGATTTCCCAGAGCCTTAAACATACTAATGTGCTTTACAACTCTCCAAGAGTTTGTAACATTACTCAGACTGACATGCCACGGTTAGCGCACACAGGGCTAGTGCTCCACAGAGCACAATCTGGGGTCTACCACAGAAAAGGCACTTACTTTATCGGTTGTTGATGACAATAATGGAAAAGTTTGGATTTAGTACAAACGGTCAGTTTCCCTGTCATTGCTGGATTTGGTCTGTTTTCAGTCCTGTAGTCTAAATTCTGTCCATAGCCTCCAATACAAATTGTTCAACTCCTTTGTTTAAATGTGAAAAATGCAGCTTTCCATCAAGGAAGACCACTTAAGAGTTTCACGATAGGGTAAAAGCACTTAAGCTGTTTAAGAATCAAGGTGGAGGTGGCAAGACCTAGATATCTTTATTGTTTCAAAGCCTCATAGTGCAGTGAAGTGACACAGAGAATCATTATTCCCTTGACAGTAATCCACGTTACTATTATCTCTTTAAAATGGTTTAATGGAATTTCTTATTATGGAGGCTAAACTGACTATAAAGCATTTGATTCTGCACAGGTTAGCTTCATTTCCAGGCCCTTTTTAAAACTGGAAAGCTCCCTAAATTGAAAGTGGTTTTAAAGAATCACCAGTGAGTGTAACGTGAGAGGGCCAGAATACCAAGGGGAAATGAGGACACACCATCCTGTACCAAGTACCTGTTTGAAAAGGAAAAAGCTTGATGGGACAATTTGGCTAATTTTAACATTTTGGCATATTTACTTTAATGTTTATCAGCACATTTACAATGTGTTAGCCCAAAGAAGAGACTTTAATTTAAATTGTTGTAAGTATTTTGTCCTAATTTGGGAGGGTGGAAGGAAGAAAAACAGGAACACTTAACTGAGGGATAAGTTTGGGTGCATCCTTCTTATTTGACTTAAAAAAACAATATTCTCATACTTGAAATATTATAACTGCCCATATATGGACATTCCACTGAATTGATGACATAAAATAAGCTAAAGCAACATGTTTCAGAAAAAAAAAATGTAGTTACAGGTGCTGAACAAGGAATATTAGAAAGTTCCACCAGAAAGTCATCCTTGACAGGAACCTTCATTAAACACTTTTTAATAAAAAAAAATCAACATCTGATCTTCAAACACAAAAGAATACCATAAAATATTAATTGATTAATCTTTTGCTCATAGTACATTTCCCTGTATATGTTTCAAAAATATACACCTTAGCACCAAACATGCAAATATGCTCACTAGCAACAGAGGGATAGTGTTCTAGGCTTCCAGTCCACAGTTTACACCTGGGTCTTCTTTAGAAACATTCAGAACCAATGCTTCTAAAACTCAGGTAATGTGTGTAAAGTGCCTGGCAAGGAGTATGTATATTCAATAAATGATCATGGCTAGTTTTTTTTTGATAATTAGGGCTTTCTGAATATCATAAGAAAAACTTGGAACTCTTCCTATGATGCTGGAATGGGGCCATGTATGTGTGGACCATTCAATTTTATGTCCTAGTGAGCATTGTGACTAAAGAGCTTTGACATAATCGGTATGATGAGATAATCCCAGATTTACTGGCTTGAAGAACATTCTAGTATTAGAAATATTTCCTCTCTGATTTGTGTGCTTGGTAATTCAACTAAGAAGAGAGAGAATAAATCAGCCCTGTTGACTCTGTTTAATTAATTATTAAAACCCCGTGGTTCATAAAGTGAGATGCTGCTACTTAGCATGAAAAATTTAGAGGTCTGGAGAATAAACGAGACTGACTACGAAACATGCAAATCTTCCATTTGAGCATACAGTACCTCTGGCAAATGCTCCTGCAGAGAATGCATCTGACCTGATTTGGGGAGCAATCGACAGCAGTTCAGACTATGTTTGAAAATCTAACAGACCTAATACTACTTGCTTCTGAATGGTTGCCGAATCTGCTGCTGGAAAACAGTAACATTGGAGCAGAGGAGATGACAGTGGTGTGTTTTTTTTCCTTTTAGAATATTAGTAATTTGAAATCATATTTTAGAGCTTATAAAAAACCCTAACAGAACATGCTTTATTTTACTGGCAAAGAAATGTAAGTGAATTATTTAAGTCCCATTATAATTACCCTCCTTATGTTTCTTACCTCCTAACATGCAAAATGCTTTCTTTCAAAATAAAAATTTAGGACAGCCTGTTAAGAGAAAAGTGGTTTAAAGAGAAAAAGTACACCAGTTTTGTAGAAATTCATTCTTGTAACAGTCTGTGATGGTGAAAGAAGTTCTTCTGTTAATCTTCCACTGTAGATGTTACTATTTATATGTCATTGTGAATTTAGCAAGATTGCATGTATTATTTTATCCATTTAGGATAAAGCTGCAGAATAAGAAGTCAAAGTAATTAACTCACAATTTTCCTTTTTTGGGGGAGGGTGCTGAATAATCTTATGTACACGTATTCATATGAATCAGAAAATAAAGTCAAATAACTAAATATATTAATCCAAACTGTTTCTGCCACCAGTATCCTGGAATCACTGGAAAATTTTATAGCTGGCCATAAACTGCAAGTAGCAATGAAAATAAAGATTTAATAAAAAAAATTACCAATTGAAAAAAATCAGAAGGCAAGCGACGACATGTTACTATATATAGAAAACCCTAAAAGGTCCACACAAAAACTACTAGAGCTGGTTGAAGAATTCAGCAAGGTAGTAGGTTACAAGATTAATGTTCAAAAATCAGTTGCATTTCTTTACACTAACAATGAAT